TGTTGGTTGCAGTTCTGCCGAGGGAGAAACACAAATCGAGTGTTGACGAGTGCACTTTTAGTTTTGTCACGACGATTGCTTCGCTCACGCGCAATGCCAAATGGAACCGTGCAACCACCAAGCGCGAGTCAAGATGGCGTCACTTGACTTATAGTGAGTCAGTGAACCTTTCGTTCTCTCACGATTTACACTTTTTCTGCTAGCGTGGAAAGTGCTGGTGGGCCTCAGCAGCGGTATATTTTGTTTCGGCGTCCTGGAAGCGATACGTTTCTTGGCCAATCGCTCCAGGTTCTTTGTCCCGATCGAGGCTCACAGACGGTCTTTGACATATCTTCGGAGGCGGAAATCGTTAAGACACAGACACCTGTGATGTTGCAGGACTTATGACCGAGTGCTCAGGGATACCGGCACTTGCATTGCCATAGTCAGGTGATGCCCGCTTTTTTGTGCAACTATATATATATATATAGATTGTGTTTCTTGGAAGTGCATGGGCACACCAGGAATTTAGCCAGTGGATGCATCGGAATTTTCTTTACTGGCGAAGCTGAGCCAGTGGAGCAAAGAGCGTGTGCAAGTATGGAAATAAGCTGGGCCAGTGGGGCGAAGTGCTGCAGGATCTATGTACTATCAATTTGACGGGTGAGGCTGGCCAATCGGAGCGATCATTGGAGCGAACACCTACTTACAGCATCAAACCCTCGCTTGGATGGACCGAGGTGGGAAACCTATATGGACACATTCGCCGCTATCAACATCGAACCCTCTAGCAAACCACTCTAGATGGAAAAGTTCCTGTTTCTCATGAAGGTCCTTGGCAAGCAGGTCCAGCCCGTCCTTTACGTCCCGAGCTTGGCCGTTTCCGTGCTCCACAAGTTCCACAAGGCAAGAAAGAGACCTTGCATGGGGGCTTGACCTCTGACAGTGCAATCCGATCCGTCGAAAAATGACAAACTCCACATCTGAGAAAGACGCTTGTCTCTTTTTCGCAAAGACATCAGGGTCGGCATTTTTGAGCCAGGTAGCAGCAGTTGTAGCAGCCTTTTTTGTAAGTGCATGTGCGGTCTACAAATCAACTCCCCCCACGTTTTTCGCACGGCCCTATACATGACGCTTCCTACTTCCTCCGGTTGGTTCTCTCTATAATGTACGGTTCCCTTCCCGTCTCTTTTTTGGAAACAGAGAGAACAAGGAAAGATGATACTTGCCCGGCGGTTGGTTAGCTAAGCTGAGCTAAGTCTAGCTTAGACTTATAAGTACTTAGTAAGTACTTAGCTTTGACTTAGCTAAGTCCAACTTAGCTTTGACTTAGCTTCGACTTAGCTTGGACTTAGCTTGGACGTATAAGTCCAGGCTAAGTCCAACCTAAGTCAATTGTCATTCCAAGCTAAACCCTTGTATTTTTTGAATACGTGTGTAAATATATATATATATATTAAACAAAAAGTTAGCGCGGCTTGGCCGCCAGCAAAACAACGACACACAACCGCAAACCACACTGAACAGATGTCAGGGATGTAGCTCCTTTTTCACTTGCCGCGATGATACTTATGCTTGGATTGGTTTCAAAAGTTATGGCTGAGCTTGTGACATAAATAACACTTTTGCTTTTGCCCTTGGCTTTCCCTTTTGCGCCACCACGCCCCATGACACAAAAGTAAAACTATGTCAAATTTGAGTTCAGCTGCGCAAATGCCTGCAAAATAAATACTAGTCAAACAAAGAACGGCAACGCCGTAAACAGAAAGTATACATAAATTACACTTATCATTATTGATAGAGAGGGGAGCGCTGTGAGCGGCGCGTTTTTCGATGAAAATGAGCATTTTTCAACCTTTTTCATGCGTTTTCTTGAGAATGATTGATGTGTCTGACATTGCCTGGAAGGATCTGCCTGGAAGCGCCCAGATGTTATTCAGTAAGATCTGTCAAGAAACCTACAGTGATTATGAAAAAGAAGAACCAAAATTGGAATGATAGAATGAATGACTTTACAAGAAACTTAAATGATCACTTTAAACAACATAGAACACTATATGCTGAAGAGAAAAATATAGCAAACAAGGAGAAGATAGAAGACCGCAGGGGCTTATGGAATGCCTATTCATCACCAAGTGCTTTTTACAAAACAAGTAAGACTTTATACATAAGTGGCACAGGTGGTTGTGATGGATCTTTAACAAGGGATATTATGGATGATCTGTTATTAGTACCTACTAGAACTGTTCATCACAGTGAGAAATACAAACATGTTATAGAAGAATTGGAAAAGTCACCAGAAATAACCCGTTTGGTTGGGCATAACCTTGCAAGTGCTGTAATAAGATCAATCAAGAACAACCTAATACATTTGCTACAACAACCTATGCTACCCCTACACAAAAAAAACAAAAAGGAAAGGAACAAAAGTCCCAAAAGACTTGACTACCTCAATCCATCCGATATTGTTTCAATGTTGGATGGTTACGCTGTAACTTCTGATTTGAAAGAACCTAACCCTTTAATGAGCCACAGCTATATCAATTTTGAAGGGAACGGCCTTTGGAACATCAATCCCGGCACCAATATAAGCAATGGATTTAACCCCCAATCACTCATTTAAAAAACAACATTTAAACTTAGTTAAAATATGTAATGTTATGGTGGATTACTCCAAGGCAAAATTTTACAGAATACTAAATGACAAAATGACGATGTCTATATTGGTGCTACTTGTCAGCCATTGAGTGTTAGAATGGCAGGACATAGAAGGGGGCGGAATGGCAAAGATAAGAAACATTACAAATTGTTATCACACAATCACCCAAACATTCAATGCTGGTGGTGGTGAAATTAATATGAATATTGTAAAATCATCTTCTAAACTGACTGGAGCATTCATTACCTTATTTAGAACTCCAAGGAGTGGTGAAGAACTGAACCGATACTTACCTGACAATTATGTATATAAGAGATGGAATTAATCCTATGATCTATGGAAGACTTAATGATACTGGTAATGCTGATACAAATGACTTACAAGGTACAAAGGTTTTCAAGATGCCACCCGTAGTTTAAGTTGGCAAATTCAATTAAGCAATTCCCAGAAATACACAGAATTTGAAGCGCAATCATTATCATAAATCTTTTACTATTTAAGAAGAGCTATACAGTACATGACAGTTTAAGTTTTTCGTATCGTCAATACAGAAAGAACAAATTCATTATTGGTATGTCATTTGAAAAAATTGCAGATGTCAATTTTACTGGTTATAATTCTAAAATGTCAGGTATTACCAATTTTCGAGTTAAAGGAGCAGAAGGAGCATTATTAGACCCTAATGAACAAATCACTGAGGGTTTCAGAGACTGTTCTGGAATTGAGAGAAAGTGGTAGTATTGTCTACTTCCAAGGAAATTACAAATTTAAAACATCCCAGGAAATCAAAAAATCCAAAATTCCAATTTTCCAAAATTCCAATTTTCCAAAAAAACCAAAGAAACCAAAAAACCAAAAAAAACAATTCTGCACAGACCATGGGGGGAAGAGGGGGTGAGGCAAAGTCCTGGCACAATTGTTTTTTTTGGTTTCTTTGGTTTTTTTTGGAAAATTGGAATGTTGGAAAATTGGAATTTTGGAAAATTGGAATTTTGGAAAATTGGAATTTTGGAAATTGCCTTTGGGGGAGGGGGGGGTTGAGGCAGAATAGTATTCTTTCAGTGGCACAAAAATCAATAGAAACGCAATGCAAATATAGAAACAAAATACAAACAAAATGAAACAATGCAAAAACGCGCCGCTCAGAGCGCTCCTTTCTGTATTAATATAATATATCAAACAAATATATATAGAATAGAATAATACACATACATCAACAATACATATATGTAAAGTATTTTGTTCATTAGACTTTATATTTACTAAATCTATTTTACTTTACAATTTAGATGATAATCAACTGTCATAATATGTTCTGACAATATGTCATAGTGCGTCATAAAAAAAACTATGACAACATCTCTATGACATTTACTTTTCCAATGAAGTCTTGTCATAAAAATATGACAGCTAACGTATTGATTGTCATAATCTGTCATAACATATTATGACAGTTTGTTATCATATTGTTACCCTAAACAATCAATACTTTAACGGTAACATTATTCTATTTTCAATAAAAACATATAGTTAAACAATAATACATAGAATATGGATTACTATTTGATCAATAGTGATGTACATATTAATCACATGAACATTTTGTATATACATATTTGTTGTTGGTAGGTTAAAACATAGTAATAGAATATCAGTTTAATGTATATATATATATACAACATTTAAAAGTCATCATTTTGTGATTGAGACATATGTTAACATTTTTGCAATAAACCTTGAATATGTTCTAAATCAATACACTATTAAGATATTAAGGTAATGAAACAAATATATATATATATAAACTCAAGAAAGTGTAACAATTTAACATAATAGTCATTTAAAAAAACATATGTGTTTATTGAATTTTGTTTTTCAACAACTATGTATAAATAATGAATTGAAGTACTTTAATTCGTCGTAGCCGCAATATTTACACAAAAGGTCAAAATGGTATACACAAAAGCTAATGTTACATTAAATCATTGGTTTCATAAGTTATGATCAGTTTATACCTTGGACTTAGCTTTGACTTGGCTTCGACTTAGCTTCGACTTATAAGTCACTTATAAGTGACAGCTAAGTCCAACTTAGACTTAGCTTACTTACTTGTGACTTAGCTAGGTCAGACCTAAGTACTTACTAACTCCTATTGGCTTAGCTAACTTAAAGCTAAGTCGAAGCTAACCCTTATAGAGGTTAGTAGACTTAAAACCAAGGTTATAAGTAGGTTAGGACTACTTATAACCTAGGTTATAAGTCGAAGCTAACCAACCACCGGGCAAGTATTAAGGAAAACTCTTCGGCTTGGACTGACTTTCCCTTATGTTTCCGCCATACTTTAGCGCGATCTCCACATGCCATGCCATTGGCACGTCCCACCTCGCAGAAGCATGTTTGCTCCCTCTGTGGTGAGACTGTGAAGGGCTGCAAATGGCTGCACTTTACCAAGGGCCACAGAGTTTTGGGGCTTGAGGGCTTCGGCTTTGGCCGCATGAAGCGGCAACGCAAAAAGCTTGCTGCAGAACAATGCACGGGGAAGACAAAGCTGCAGAGAAACAGAAAGCGAGAGAAGCAACGAAAACGAAAGCAAGAAAGTGCTAAAGTCACTGCGGAGGTGGTCAAAACAGATTACGAAAGCCAGCCTTCGTAGAAGGCGCTAGCGGAGTTGTGTCTGGCGAACGAAGTGAGTAGTTAGGGGGTCTGGGGGGGTGGCCCGGGAAAGGTACACGTAAACTCGGCACATGCTGGGGGAGGAGGGTGCTTCGAGGGAAGGTTTTTCGAGGTTGTGTTGGAGGTGACTTTTGAGGGGTGGTGACGCAAGAAATGCCAAATGCATCATTTGCATCATCTGAATGGAAAGGTGTAGTTGGCACCTTGCCAGGTATAGAGACCCAGGGTAGCTATAGTGCAGCTACCAGGTATAGTACTTCAAGTTCCCTTTCCGTCAACCGCTCGATAACCTCTACACACGCACAGCAATCCACAGCTTTGAAGTCTCATTCGTGCTTTGAACTTGTATAGGTGTGTAAGAGGTATAGCAACATAGTATTTATACGGACCCAGGGTAGCTACAATTCTGTTCCCAACCGACACAGAGTCGCTGACCTGATCCCATGGGATCCCGACCTTTGCTCTTGGAAATGCCCTCTGTGCGCTTCGGGTGTCCCAAAGACTGTCAGCGATGTTGATATGCATTACAGAATGCGTTTGGCTCACCGTGATAGATGCCACCCCAGGGCCAAACGCCAGCGTTTCGTGCGTGCCCGAGGCAGCAGTGCCAATGCACGAAAGGCGACCATCGCCAAGACTGCTGCAGGTCTGGCAAGAAGAATGGTTGATTTGAAGGCCGGTGAGCAGGGAGAGCACGATTGCGAGATCCTCCAGCTCCCACATGTCGGCAAAGGCAAAGCTGTGCGTCGATTCCACAACAAGCTTTTTTGTAAGAAGTGTAAGGCCTTGGCAAGCTCCGTCAAGAAGCTTTCAAGCGTGAGATGCGATGCCTCCTTCAAAGGAGGTCCGAAGCGAAAGCAGCTGATTGCTAGTTTGCAAAAGTTTGCTGATAAGCTCAGTGTAGGTTCGCAGGAGCACACCGCAACCTTGCAGGTGGTTTCGAAGATTTCTCCTCCTGCCAATGTGGATGAGCTGGTCCCAAGAGCCCACAATGTGGTCCAGGTCCAGACGCCAGGCAAACGCAAGCAGGCCGCTTTGTTCTGCACTCGCTGCCGTCGCCTGTCTGCCACAAAGAAGCATTTGAATAAGTTCAACTGCAGTTCAGCAGCGGTTTGGTCCCCTGCGCGTGAGCGGGTCTTGCGACAGGTCGATGAAAACGCAAAGGGAGCCAAAGGCAAACGCTTGAAAGCGTTAAGTGAGCTGACTGATTTGCTCACTGGGAAGGCGACTAGCAGCTCAACCCCATGACTGTACTTGAAGCTGCCAATGGGGGACAACGATGTCCCAAGCATGATGGTGCCTTGCGAATCGCCACACTCAATGTGCGTTCTCTCAAGGGCAAAATGCCCGAAGTGTTGCAACTGGCTGACAGCTTGTCAGTCGATATTTTGTGTCTGCAGGAAGTCAGACTTTCTGAAGATAACTTGCTGGCCGCGTCTCACGCAGCCAAGCGCAGTGGTTGGCAATTTTTCGCTAGCCCTTGTGCTATGAACAATGCGGGAGCACCTACTGCCGGTGTTGCCATACTTAGCAAATGGCCTGTTGACAAATATGTGTTACCTGACCCCTCCTGTGTTCTCCGGGCACAACAAGGCAGGTGGCAAATCATGAGAGTGCACAGGCCTGGTTCACGGCCTTTTTTGTGCGTCAACCTTTATTTGCATGCTTCGGATAAGATGCAAGCCCGGAACTTAGGTAAGAGTCTCTTTGAGGCGATCGCTGTCAGCGGTGAAGATTGCATCTTCATAGGTGACTGGAACTGCACCGCTGAAGAAGAGCCTGTGTGTTCAGTTCTTCGCAGTGGGTGTTTGCATATGGCCGATGATGTGGCTGGCATTGAAACCCTAGCCATTCCGACTCACGACAAAGGTCGGCATATTGACTTTGCTTTACACTCTATAGGTCTTGTCCCTTGCGCCAGAAGCCAGTCCGCAGGGATTGCTGACCACTGCGCAGTCATGTATGATTTTGCGGTTGCCGGTTTGGAGCCTTGTTTCAAAGTCCCTCCTCCTAAGACCTTAAAGGCAAAAGAACCCGTCGAGCAAGAGCGGTGGGATGCTTCTTTTCCTCTTGAACGGTTTGATTTGTTGTTAGCGCAGCAGGATGTTCAGCGTGCTTGGAATTTGTTAAGTGACCATGCCGAGTCTCTTTTGCAACCCCATTCGGTAGGTCGTTCACGCACGACAGTTCCTGGTCCCACATGTGTTGCCACAGCGCCCACTAAGGTCGAAAGACTTCAGACTGTGTTGGAGCGTCGCCTCCGTCGCACCCTGCGACGTCTGGCAGAGCTGCAAAAGACTGATGCTGATTGGAGCTTGGCACGTAAAGTGCTGAATGCGCTGCCGTACTTGCAAAAGCATTTTCCTGAGCTCACTGAGGTTCAGAATCTGGACACAAATCTTATCGCTGTCCTCGAGCAATGCTTGCAGAAAGAAATATGTGCTAGTCGGGAAGCTCGGCTGCAGTCCTGGAAGCGTAAAATGGAGGAAGACGAGTCTTCCCTTGTTCGATGGGTGAAAGGAGCTGACAAGGTTTCTTGCTTTGCCACTGACGACTCTCGGGTCCCGGTGCACCCACAGCGCAAAGCCGAACATTTTGCAAATTTTTGGCAGAAAGTTTGGTCCCCGCCTTCCCTGGCTCAAGAAGAGGCTGTTGACCCTTTCTTGGATTGGATCCCGCCCGGGGGTTTTTCTTGCTCAGAGCCAAATTTCACACCTGCAAATCTCAGATCTCAGGTACGAAAAGCTGTTGGCAAGGCCCATGGGCCTGACGGTTGGACGGGTGACTCATGGTCCTTGTTGCCCATGGGTTTCTTTGATGCCTTGGCCAAGTTGTGGAATGTGGTTATGAAAACGGCGCGCTTGCCATACCAGTGGCACTCAGTTCGTTGCGTTTTGATTCCCAAAGAGGTCGGACTCCGACCCATCAGCATTGCAGCCCTTGCCTGGCGAACTGGCATAGGTGTCCTTGCTCAGCAGCTGGCTCATTGGATTGATTCATGGGCCCCTGATGAACTTGTGGGCGGTTTGAAAGGCCGATCTTCAGCTACTGCGCATGAACAATTGCATGAGAGCATAGCTTGGCCCAAGGTTTTTGGAGCTAAGATCGACATTGCCAAATGCTTCGACCATGTCGATGTTAAGCAAGCTCTTCGTGTCTGGTCCAAGTTGGGGGCACCTCACACTGTGGTGGCTGTCCTCCAATCCTTTTATGACAAACAGACGAAAACCATGGAATGGTTAGGTTCTTCCACTAAACCTTTTGGTTGTTCTCGAGGCCTTTTGCAGGGTTGTCCCTTGAGTTGCGGTCTGCTAGCCGGCCTGATGACGGTGTGGTATTGGCACATTAAAGCCAGTGCACCCCAAGTCTGTGTCTCTGTTTTTATTGATGACAGAACCCTGTGGAGCTCCGATTGGCGTCAGCTTTGTCTGTCACTCGAAGCGTCCAGTAGGATTGAAGAGGCTTTGGGCTTGAGTCTGAATCACTCCAAATGCGAGCTTTTTTGTAAGTGTTCTTCATTTCAGCTCGTTTCAGTGAAACGGTGGAATCATGAGTCCCACCGGAACTGGAAAGTTTGCAGACAATTTAAGCTCCTTGGTGTCCACTACTCTCTCTCCAAGCGTCGGCGCACACCTGTAGAGGACACTGTGACTCGCAAGGTTTCTGCGCGACTGCGCAGACTTCGGACCGCAACCAGCAACCAGAGAAACAAACGCAAGCTCACGCGCAGTTTGGTGTTGTCTTTGTTTGCTCATTCGGGGCCGTGGACAACTGTGTCCAAAAAGCTCTTGAATCAGTGGCGTAACACCATTGAGCAAACCATCATCGGCCGTGCCGTGCCGGGCAGGTCTCGTTTTCTGCTTTGGCAGTATTTAGGTCCGGATCTTTGTCCTGAATTCGCGTTGGACAGGCGGGTAGTCTTTCATGAGCTTTGGAAAGTCAGACGTGCTGTCTCAAGTTGCTGTTCCCTGCTCGACATCGAGCAGGTGTGTGCCGCTATGCCCCAACCTTCGACCTCTTACCGATTGGCAGAAGTTTTGAACAAGTGGCAGTGGCAGCACATCTCGCAGAGTCGTTTCCGCACCCCGCAGGGGGACCTTGATTTGGCATTTGACGGGTTGCCGGCAATCAAAGAGGCCATGAGACACGCATGGCTGGCGTACCTTTGGAGAAACGAGCCCCGCGCGCAAGATGACGCGGAGGTTTGTCAACGTGTTTTGCCAGTCTACCAGGCGCATTCAGCTTGGATGCGTCAGGGCGTCTCTGATTGGGAGTCCTTCTGCATTGCGGTCGGCGCTGGCAAAGATAGTCGTAAACTCGCCAAGCAGCATGAGCTTGAGTCCTTCAATTGTGCATGCGGGAGGGAATGGCCTTCACGCACACATGTCACGTGGCATTGTCCTTCTTGCCCAGGGTTGCCTGAGGCTTCTCGGCCTACACGCAAAGCTGAGGAACGTTTGCTCGTTCCTAGCATCCAACTTCCTCCCATACCTGATGAAAGGTGTAGCCAGTTTTTGCGACCGGATCCGAATTTGTGTGATCTTTTTCGTAGGACTGCCACGGCCGACCAGGTACTTTTGGTAGCTTCCGATGGTAGTTCTCAAAAGGTCCAGAATCTGCGCAGGGCTGCTTGGAGTGTCGCAACAACCGACCGGGTTTTTGCTGCCCGTCTCCAGGGACTGGATCAAAACATTTTTGGCGCTGAATCGGTTGCTGTTTTGAAAGCTTTCATTGCTGCGACTCATTTGCGCGTAGATCTTCTGTTGGTTTGCGATAACCTTGCAGTCGTCAGACGTGTGAAGCAAATCCAAACGACGGGATATTTGCCTCAGTGGGCGCCGGGCCTGTGGAAGGCCTTAAGCTTAGTTTGCTCCACCCACGAAATTGCGTGGGTGCCTTCGCACGATAAGCTTCTTGATTGGACCGAGACTTGGAGACTCCTTAACAAGCGAGCCGACGCCAAAGCTCAGGAACAGGCCGCTCGGTCTGTGCACGAGCTTCTTGATTGGAAATTTACCTTTGATGCTGCAGTGGCCTGGTCTGCTTCAGCGCTTGATAGGCAGCGGAGTGCTTTGCGGTTCCTGAGGCGCCTCATCGCTCCTTCCGCACCCAGCTGTGATGTTCCTTCTGTTGGCTTGTCAGCTTGACGGAAGCATGAGTTGACATGGTTTTGCTGTCTTCGCTGCAGCAGTCACTTTGCCTTCGCAGGATTTTTGCTGGACATTGAAATCTACGGATAGACCACTATCTGCCTTTGGCGATTTCTTTTTTCGTTGGGCGCTTTGCGCCTGGAACACTGCCTCCAGCCATTCATTGCTATGAACCCAGGCTGTGGCAGAGCAAGACTACACACACACACACTACAATTCTGTTCCCAGGTATGGCGCGCATGAGGCTTCAAAGAAGCATGCAATGCATGAGTATATTGGAAGCTTCCTCGCAAGCCCAAATGGCGAGCCAGCAAAATTGCTGGAACTCAAAAAGCCAGCTGCTGGAATCCGTTGTTTCTTTTGCCAGCCAGCCATATAGCCCGCGCACGAAATCAATCGTTCTGTCAACCCGCAGCTGACCCAATGTGTCCGCAGCTGGCAGTACAGAAATCTTGCAGAGGACGAGCCGGTGAAACTCTTGGCAAAGGCCCCGAAACCTGCATACATTTTGACCTTCAACACGCGCGACGCCTGAGTGGGGTTGATCCCTAGTTGTTCTTTTCATGTTTTACCATGCCGTTTCCAACCATAAGAGAACAATTTTTGTTTGTACTTAACTCATGTTTTATGACGTTTCCAATTTGTAATTGTAAGAATGTGTTTAGAATATGTTTGATTGCTTTACTTGCGCTGACTTCTCCAAAATTTTGATAAATTTGCTTATGTTTAATACAACAGGGGTTCTTATAATGTTTGCACATACCAAAATCTTATACTACCCTAAGCAGTTGTTCTTATAATTGCTTGGCTATTCATGTTTAGAAAACACATTTTGCAACGTTCATCAATGCTTTTGTGCATGAAATTTTGTGTTGTTTGTTATCCAACTTATGTGTATATTACATGTTGTGTTCTCCGTGTTTTCTACTGCTCCTGTTCCAAAATTTGTTTGTTCTTCTGCACTAAAACAGATCAAAGAAGTGTGGGCCAGTCTACACAAAAATATGGTTTGATGTTATTACATCGAGGTTGTGAACTTCCATAGGTTGGAGGATGCGATCCCAAGATGGAGAAGGCCCATATGATTCATATCTTGTTTCAAGGGGGAACCACTCTTGGATCTATCTTGGTAGGTTGGGAAGTCATGAAGAAAAAACCACCTGGCAATGGGCATTTCCTTTGCGGATTGGATTGGGTGCAATCTGGTGCGGCTGGATTAGGTGTAGGAACCGAGACAAGCTGTTGGGAGCCCTTCGGGAGGTCCTTGTAGATTTCAGAACCCAAACTTGCAAGTTTGAAAATTAGAATCGACCGGGTTGGCACTATGCTAGAGCTTTATTATCACCAACACCTGTGCCGCTTTCCTACGTTGCTTAGCCCAAGCAAGCTGTGCAAAGTTGATGAAAACCGGAGACACAACTGTATATAACATATATAACAAGTTCTTACATGTTGAGGGCTTAATTGCGTTCCACAGTTTTTTTGTTCGCTGGTTGCAAGGTAGTTTCAAAATGTTTCAATCAGTTTCCCCAAACCGAACCTTTCTTGGAGGTTTGACTTTGATTTCGGGTACTTGTTCCCTTTCATGTCAGTTTTTTTTGTCGGGAAAAGTTCTGCGGCCTGTCACGAAGCATTACAAAACCAGGTACGGCAGCGCTTGGCGCGGAGTGCCGAACAATTGGAGCGAGATGCCTCGTGGCATGGTGAGTGGTGGTGTTGCAAAACGACGAATTGACCAGAAGGATACCTTGGTTGACCAGAAGGTCAAGACATGATGTTCCCACCATTTTTGACCCATCCCCATGTTTGTGACTCGTTGTATTCCACAAATTGAAACGTGTCCTGTTCGACACTGGATGTTGAGGGCAAAGGGTTTGCTGGGTCCAAAGTGATTTTGGCCAAAACCCTTGCATGGAGTTTTTACAGTGTGAGAGGGAGTTTTGCCGCCGATAATGGTCGTAGAAGGACGAGGGCCAACTCTAGGGACAGTCGAAACATCAAAACAAAAACCCCGGCTATTGTGTCGCTATTTGATACCTGAGATTACCTGAGCGTCACTCTATTTTGAGAAGTTTGACCTTTTGATCTGGGCAGAGTCGGGAATCCAATCCAACTTCCCAGACCTCCCAGAATGAGATTCCCCACCTCGCTCCACACCGGCGGCTCAACCGTCCGAGTGCAGCGGCACTGAGGTCGCCCACAAGCAGCATGAGCTCGCCCAGCTCAAGGCCCAGGCCGAGGACCCACCGAGCCTGAGTCGCTGGGGCGCGGTCGCGGGCGCTGTGGGGAGGGAAGCAGATGAAAGACCTGGCGCTGGACCTTTTTTGGGGGGGTGAGAGCAAAGGTGTCCTATGAACATGCGACCATGACCTGAACTGCAGGGTGACTGGACCGAGGTCCAGGTTTAGGCAGTGGAGATGCATGGAGTTCAGCATTCATCATGGATCCCAAATGAACAGGATCACTCAGGCTGTGTCACTTGCAAAAGACTAAATCCACTACTAAATCCATCCCAATCATTCCCAATCCATTTGAACCATGGAGAGCAATTGAAAGATTATTCAAGATGATTATCGTGTTTTGTTGAGAGGGTGGATGGGGACATGTCATGACACATGTTGATGAACTCATGCATTATTTTGACCTTTTCTCGCGAGAAGATCAACAAGGAGTCTTTGGGAGCCACCCCATGGGTGACCATGAAACATCCGCAGAGTTTCATGGTGGTTCGCAGACCATCCAGAGTTGCCTGGAAGTCTTCAATTGGCCCAACCACCGGCCCGAAAAACCTCCCCGAAGACCCGAAGAGGCACTAGTCGGTTCCCAACCAAGCGGAAATCCGAGTGGTTGGGGTGGGACGATTTGAGTGATTCCAGTTGGACCCAGGAGATGCAAAAGTCCTGTTCCGACCTGGCCTGGAGCCTCAGGGGCCTCATTTGGCCTTAGTGGCCGTGGCATATGTATTTTGTGGCTGTGGATTCTGGAGGACTGGAGGAAGAAAAGAAAACCATGTTGAACTCAACAGGACGTGTTTGTTATTGTTTAGATAGTCCTTGGTTCGTGAAGTTTGAATTGTTGAATGGGAAAGGCGCACCGACAAAAAAGAACAGACGGATATTGTCAGGACATTGGCTCCTGTCATATAGCTTCGAGATTCCTCTTTGCATGTCCTTTGTAAACAAGATGAGCTCGCCGTTCAGAACAGTTCTTCTTCCAAACGGTCCAGTTGAGCGTTCCAGTTTAGATATTCCATTGCTGTGACTGTGGCTGTGACGCCCGGACCTCTTCAGAGTCCAAAGCTTTTCCACATGCATGCTAGTTTACAGACCTGGAACAAAGAGGAAGGCAACCCGATAGCGAAGCGAGCAACACACATTCAACATGTGAACCTTTGCCTAATAACTGCTGCCCTGCACTTGAACTCCACACTACAGCTCAACCGACCACCCGTTGTTTGTTCGTAAGATGTGAGATACAGAGGGATAATTTGTCTCGTTTTCAGTTGGGGGAGTCCCTTGCCATCCCTCTCCCACATAATATGAATGTCCTTTGTTTGACACTTTTTAATGCACTCCAAGAAAGCACTCAGAGATTTTGTTGGAGATCCTGTTGTCAAACGAAAGGAGACCATTTCGGCAGAACCGTCCATGCTTATATAGTGCTTTGTTGCGGCTGCGACTGTCCGTACAGCTTGTCCGTACCTTTCTTCGTCCCCACACCGCACTGTCGGTGCTTTGGCTGTTTGAGCGACGAGCGACGGTCAATTTTTTTGGAGTTGCAGGTCATCAGGATTTTGGTGAGCCTAGCTCATTTGAACAAAAGATACTTGGTCCTTTACACACAGGGTGCTATTCATATATATATATATATGTCATCCTTGTTCTGAGAGGGGTGTGGTACTGTGCTGTAGTCCGGTGCCCTTTTGTTGTTTGGCAACATTTTGCAACGACATTCCCAAGGAACAAACACGCAGCACACGGCGGAAGTTGCTCGAGGACCAATTACACTTTCAAGTGGCCAGGTGGCTTTGCCAAAAGATGTTTGGGAAAACAGGAGAACTTCAGTTGTCAGCAACTAGAGGTTTATCCCTATTTTCCACTAAAGACAAGAAAAGAACAAGTAAGGACAACTAACATGCTCCAGCATCCAGACCTGCATCTTCTCTTGGCCACCTCCTTCAACCAAACTCTATCACTCAGCTTACTAGCTGTTGGTTTTTTCACGGGATCGATCGGAGCCGTTGGGAGCTACAGAGAGTTTCCCCAACTATTTGGCTAGTACTGTATATGATTGATTGGTAGTGTCTTTTTGCAATTTGTGGCTTGGCCTTTCCTTGGTTCACCCCTGTTTTACCTGAATCACAGGCCTTGGGGCTTGGAGCCTTTATTCGCAGCGAAGCCTGGGAGCCCTTTGGGGGTCCAAAACGTCTCACGTTTTGCAGGACCGGACGGCAGCTCTTCAGACAGCAGGGAAGCCTGATGAAACAACACAGAGAGAGAGGTAGTAGGAGGATTTCAATGGATTTCATGATCATCCAACGGGCCCCATCCACTTTCTTGACTCATGTTGGGATCTCATTTTGCTGGAGCATTTCGTCATGCTAGTCCGAGAACTGAGTGCCCGAAAAAACACACCTATCATGGCCAAAGTTCAACAGGTTGAGCAATTTCAGACCCAGACCAGCCACAAAAAAAGAGGAGACACGTCCAGAAAGTTATATACACTCCCTGGAACTAATGACATGGAGGACTCTCTGTTTGGTATTCGGAACATGGCCTTCCAAGGGGCCTATGCCATCCGCTTCCCATGTTATAGAGGTCTTTTCTTCGCTCCGAAAAGAGGTGATGGATGGGTACAGCATTCATTTCCAGAAGTGGGTCCTGGTAGTTGACTATCGTTTCAATCCCAGACACTCCATGGGACTGCCATATATGCTTACATTGGGGTGGTGCCAGGGGGTTCAATGTACGTAGGCATATATATATATATATGGCAGTCCCATGGAGTGTCTGGGAATTTTTGGACAAGCACCGCTTTTCGCGAACTCAGACAGGCCTCAGCTCGAGCAAAAGAGTTGGCAGAGGCCGAGGGTTGATTGGGGGATGGGGCTGGGACAAGGTTGGGGAACCCAAGCACCCAACGGGATCCAAAGACGAAGAAGATCTACAGAAATTCTTTTTGGCTGAGGATTTCCAAGGATGTTCGTAGATATTTTCATGTTCAGTTCGTGTTTGACATGTGTTTTTCTGTTTCAACTGATTCTGCCTACAAGGGTTCAGAGAACTGCATACCACTATACCAACATATGCAGCTTCATGGACCGACTGAGCGTCCCAACCTTTTCTGGGCGTTTCATGGACCGACTCTCTGGTGGCAGAGTCCCAGTTGGGTGAGTTCACAAGCAAGGCCATACTCGTAGAAGCTTCGCAGCTGGTCCAGCTGCTAGAGTTTCCTCAATTTCCGCCTTTGTGCTCCCGGTGGTGGAGGGAACTGCCAGGCAACTACTGTTTTGAAGGGCTTAATATGGGACCCCATTGGTGTGACAAGTCCATACTGGAGTCGACAACTACTGGAGTCGGATGCTGCAGGAGCTGCAGAGCACAGAGAATGATCTGGCTCGGAATGCCCGGGCGGACGCTGCGGACAGATGCGCTGTGTGATGAACAAAGAGACTGGGCGGTTTTAGATATGTTCATGTTCCACCTTTACTTGGGATCATTGAACCCGCTGAGTAATATGCTTAAATTATTTGAATTGAAAAAACACCATGTTGGGATGTTGATTTGCAGGCTGAAGAAGGATCAAATTCGGCCAATGCTTCAAGACATGTTTGGATCGCGACTTTTTGCCTTTCAAGGCATTTGGTATTGACAAGGTGGGCTGCAGTAGATGAAGCAGACGTAGACCATGCCAGAGAACTGATCAGATAAGCATGATAAAGAAAAACACATCTACAAAGTGGAATGCAGCAGTGGCCACCTTCCTCAAGAGAGAAGAACATTATGTTTCTTTTTGATTGTGGTTACTGGTTCCCACCACTCATCCACGGCTGCCCGGAAAATATTGTGCCGTCTCCGCGACTACACTACACCGAAAGGCTGTGGCAGCGGCTGGTTTGGGTTATCCGTCCAGGGCCCCCAAATCCATGTAGTATCGCCTTCCAAGTTCCGCATACATGTTTAACTCCACTCCCAAAAACGGTTCATTCCTGTTTGGCCTCAGGGCTTTGCAGGGGATCCTTGCTCACAAGGCATGCTCATGCTGACCCGTTGGTTCCAGGAGTCGGCATGGCGGTCCTTCACGGCATGCTTCGCCCATGCCGATCCAGTTCGACCGGAGTGGAGCATGGGGGTGTAGAGGAAATCTCGTGGAGTGGAGGAAAATAGACCAAAACCTATGTGGTGGGAGGTCCCCCTCTTGAATTACACACCCTAGGCTCGGGCTCATGCTCTATCCCGAGGCGCGCGCCAACAAGGAGCTCGAGCGCTTGGAAGAGGAGCTCGAACGTCTTTGCGACAAGACTGAGTCAAGTGACGAAACGAAATGAAGGATATGACACTCCTGGTATATATATATATAAATTATATATATATATATATCTGTGTGCGTGTGTGTGTTGCATTGACCCCTTTGTAAGCACCCCACAGTGAGCAACTATTCCATTTGCAAACTGTTATGGAAGGACAACATATATGACAACCTTAGACGATCCTACCCGGATGTAGGGTGTACCTATGTGAATCCCATTACCAGTTAAGAGTCAGTATTAAAGATTATCACCATTCGGCCATTTGGGGGCCCTGGTAGTGGGATATACCCAAGTCCTACCAGGACCTTCAACTTGACCGAACTTGAGATCCCAGAATATCCGGAGCTCACGAAAATCACGACTCCAGTTCAAGGTCACAAAAACTGCAGGTCCGGGTCGTCCTGGTTTTCGGTGCTTTTGGAGCGCTGACCTCGCTGCAGGAAGAGGTGGACCGTGGCAAAGAGATCGAGACAGCCAGGCCGTGTCACGGATGCTGCGGATGCTGCGACCATGCGGACCTGGGAGATTTGCCCCATGGATGGGGGGATTTGAGATGTATTCAGGGTCAAGTAGTAAGTTCGGTGGTCTGGGAACCCGAATCTGATTGAGGTCATCGAAACGGCTTGTCCATCTTGGAAAGGGGATCTCCGTCTCGTGGGGTCAGACGTATTCTACCGGTGTCTTTCCCCTGGGTGTCCTCGAACCTAGACTCTTGGTCCTCTGGGGCGGTTCGAAATCGGCCCGACGGAAACCGCTGCTTCCTGCAACTGTTTGTCAGCGGCCGCCTTTTTTCGTTGGGGAATTGACTTGCCCTAGGCAATGGGTGATTGGATATGACTGGATCGAGTATCCTAAAGTTGCTTCTCACTCAGTGGCCACTTGATGTAGATCAAAAACAAGCATTTACTGTTGTCATGTGTGTTTTTTGTTTTCCCGTGCCATTTCGAGTGGTGACATCCCATTTCAATCACTCAAAGCTGCAAGCCAAATCCTCGACCAAAGCTGCACGCACCATGCAGGGGACGCCTGGGAGAGGTGCAACGTGAGACCTTTTCGCTACAGGCGCTGGGCGTCTCTTTCCGTTGAACAATTGCCGTGGTTTCAGAGGTTTGATGGCACTGGCACCCAAACTATATCAACCACCAAACTTAGAGGTTGTGCCATCTACTCTCAATCCAGTTCAGATAGAGGGTTCGAACTACGTTGAGATGTGTTTCCTGACGGCACTTCTCAGTGCCCTTCATCTACCTCAATGATTGCAACAACCACTGGTTTAAAACTCTGGAGGTTCGTTGGTTTGGGCAAGGAGTGTGCTTTTGCATCAATGACACGAGGTTAAAGGTTGGAACTGCATCCACTGGGCTTGTTCGATGGTGTCTTTTGGACCAAGTGACCCAGTGCCTGACGGATCATGTGTCCAGCTCGTTTGAAACACCCCTTGTGGTAGGGGATATGCTTTTTCTTGGGGCTTCGGGAAGTAGGGTTGGGCTGAGTCGGAACTTGTGACCAGGTTTGAGCTGATATCAATGCACTGCTGAAAACGAGCGGATGGTGACCTCTTAGGTTGAGGGACGGGCACAAACAGGCAGGGGTGAGGTTTTGGAGCCCCAACTTCGTCTTTGAGTCTTTGGCATCAGTAAAACTCTCAGAGGTTAAGAAGATTGAGTGATACCAGTGATACCCGTTGATTGGTAGCAGGGAACTGATACAGCAACAAGAACTCCTCAAAAGTCACGCCCCCAAAGGGACCCAGCCCCCGCGGCCATCGAGGCGCAAATCCAGCCCTCGAGGCTGGTTCGCCTTGGGGGGTGAGACTTGTGACTTGAGTTCGTAGCCAGAACCATGTGGTTGCTTGGATGACAGAATGCATGGAGGGAGAGCGGGGGAGAGACAAACATATACAGAGACGGAGAGGGAGGGGCAGAGAGAGAGAGAGAGAGAGAGTGTGACAGACACAGAGAGACAGACCAGACCCGACCATGAGACCAGACTAGACCAGACAGATAGATAGCTATACCTAGCTACTTTTAGGTTCCAGTCTTCTTCTTGATGCCGCTCCAGCTGCAGTTTTGGCTCTTCTCAGAACGTTAAGCGCTCCGCCCGATCGCCAGTTGAAAACAAGAGAAAGGCTTGGTCATTGCGACAGATCCTGTCGTGATGCGTGTTTGTGTGTGTGAAGTGGGGGGCAGACTATAGTGTCTTAGATGTCGTCTCAGGACAGTCCAACTTTAAATCATGAGTCTGAATAGGTGCATTTGATGATAAGCAGTTATGAATGCTCATTGACTCATTGATGAAACAGTAACAGCGACCATATTGCGCAGCATGTAGAGCCGATCAGGCAGTCCAGAAAGTCTCGTCTGATCAGTCAAGATCTGGGTATCCCCTCTATCGCCCAACCTTGGGCGAACGTGTTCTGTTTGCGGTTGTTTATCGCCATCCTATCCAAATGGGTTGGCCATCCTGGAGAGCAGAACTTTTTGTTGGCGTGTTTCTTCTCCTCAGATGCTTTTGATTCATATTCCTTGTGTGGAGAAATGACTATCTTTGAGATCCGATTTGTGAACCCTGCAGCTTATTCCCCAGAGCCACCTTGAAAAGGACACTGAAATCGATGCTTTTCCTATATGGCACACGTATCGCAACAGTCGACGTGTCAACCTTGCCCAGGATGGCCGCAACTGATGTGGTGATGCCTGTCAGCCTTCCGACCAGCGCCGGAACGCGCGAGGCGCGCGCGTTCACCCTGAGACCCGAACCGGGCGGACGCAGTCACTACGGGCAGTGCTGAAGACGTGCTGAAGACATTGAATCGTATTGGACCAGTCGGAACGTAGTAGGTGGAATCTAAAGATGCGAGAAGCAAGAGAAGTTGGGCAAGAGTTCACGGCCGCAACTTCTTTCCTTTGCTGTTTCTTTTTGGCGGGTTGTGGGTCCTGTTCTTGATCTGAAATGTTCTACTGAGGGCCCCCGCGGATTGCCAAATTCGGATCCAGGGGGTACATTTTCTACTAACGCAGAGAGAAGACTTCCACTTGGTCGAAACATATTCTATGAATATTTGTGGGCGGCGTAGGACTTTTTTACTGTTTCACATGCAGCAAGGATGAACAAGGTGGTAGGGACAGCACAAACACAAAGCTAACATTGACTACAAACATGGCAAACACTCGTCACAATCCCATGGTGGCTGCATTCTCCGCCTGAGACTGTTGCACTTGCAAAACTTGATATCACAGACAGAGGCAGTGGTTGAGTTGGACAGATCTTCTCAGTACATAGAGACGCATACATAATAAGAAAGACATACTATGGACCCTGGACCCTCAGAAAGTTGCCAAAACGATCATTGTTCAATGTGTTTCCTTCCGGTTGCTTTGCCGAACCCAAGTGACCCCAAAACGGCACACGGCACATCCCCCAGCACGGCAGGTCCTGGACTTGGGCTATCCCGTGCTGAATCTCCAGAAGTTGGATGACCCCAAGGCTCCTTTGATGTCGGATGTCGACAGGGAGCAAAAGAGGTTAAGTGACCTTCCAGGACCATAATGTAGACTCTTGATTAATAAACCACCCATAGTACCACCCATATATGAATATGTTTGTCCATTCAGTTCAAACATATAGCGCATATATATATATAGTGGGTTTGTGAATCAAGAGCCTACATTACTGGGGTACCTATTGAGATAGTCTATAGGGTCCATCAACCTTTCGTTAGGAGGTCTTGTTCGTCGCCGGCGGTCGTTGAGGGACATCGGCCCGGTACGTGCGGCCCGCGGCTGAGGGGGTGGCAAGACGGTGCAAAGCTACAAGAGGTGTGACGAACGTCAGATTGCTATCCCAAAGCTGTGACTGATCCATACTGATCCAAGTTTTACTTCCTCGGAAGTCGCAGGTCTCTCGTTGGAGCTCATCAACTCATACATACCGCACCACTGCACCACTGGCGTCAAAAAGATTCAAAAGGTCCAACACCGGAATAGCTGCCTTGTCATTTCCTAGGCCTCCAAGTACCTCCTCAGAAGGTATGACTGGACCCTCCTGGCACCCACCCCAGTCCCACCTTCTCAGAAGGTACGACTGGAGGCCTAGGGATTGTGTGGGACACGTCGACTCCGCAAATCTGGTCGTGGGACTTCGACGATTTCGTCCGATGTGGCGACCAAGCGACCCGGCTCGCGGTGGCGAAGCAGACTGTGCAGCACCTGTCAGACCATCAAATGTTACTGGGCTATAGGATATGAATAGATCCAGTCCCAGAGTCCCATGGCATGGTTTTAAGACTACTTGTCATTTTTAAGGGACAATCTAGGTCGATCAGTTCTCAATCCCATGTGAGAGAGTATCAAACCCCCCATGTAAGAAATTAGTATTCGCATGTCCGTTTTTCTGGAAGCATGCTCAATCCCCCTGTAAAACGATAAGGAAGCACAACATGATAACCCCCGACGATGACTCTTGTGCAAAACCCTTGACATGCGAGAAGTGCTTGGACAGAGGGAGGGCTTGGATCGCTGTAGCCTTGTGCTACAGCATTGTCGTGACACATGGTTTTCCAACTTGCACCAGGCATGAAAACGATAACGCAAGCGATCACACAGCGAGCCTAAAACAATCTAAAACACCTTTCCGTAGGCAGGCCACCACATGGGTGTAGTTGGAATGAAGTGTGCCTAATGTCTTCATATCTGCAAGGTTCCACACACCACATGCATGTAGTGCACACACTACATCATACTGTACCTAAATTATACTACATTTGTTGCAGTTAGTCAAAGTGCTGTAAAACGATAAGGAAGAAAACAACGATAACGTCAAAAGTGGTATAGGGAAAGGTAGAGGGATTTTTACACAACCTCATGTGATTCCTGGAAGCCAGCGGAACCCGCGAGGTGTCGCTCCATCAATGCTCCCAGAAGTACGGGCCCGTTGGCCCGAACGTAGAACGAGCGGCCAGCTCGGTCGTAGAACGAACGTGAGCCGGAGGTCGGAGGGGGTCGGAGGTGTATAGGACGACCCCCAAATAATGAGAGAAGTAAACCCCCTCCCCAGTAGAAATGTATTGGACAACGTTTCTATCTATATTTGGGGCCCACTATATGCCATGACCTTCAGTCAGTGACCTCGAACTGGAGTCTTCGTTGGTGACCGTTTGCGGGCCTGTTTGTGGCTGAAATTCCTGGGATGTCAGGTTCGGGCACTTTGAAGGTTCTGTAGATGTGTTTTTTGTTCCTTTTTTCCGTTGTTTTTTCTTAAGGCATCCGGAGGTGAAGAACATGTTGAAGAGTTTTCAGAGATGTAGATAGGGAAATTCAAGAATTCCATACCACCCTCAGCAACGGGATGTGTCGCCCAGTGTGTGTGTGTGTGCAGGTAGTTCAACATTCTGATATTCTCCTCGTTCTCCTTGAATGCATGATGTCAAGGAGTCGATCTAGCTACCTGGCTGGTGGTCAGTTTGGCTCCAGATCAGCCTCCAGACTGGTGACTGGCTACTCACTTCAGCCTGGTCTGGATCAATTCACCAGGATTCCAGTCTGCCAAGCCATACTCGACGCCTCGACGCTCCACCGACCTCGACCGTGGGCAGAAACGCCCAACCGATCGGGTGAAAGGCCTGCAACCTAACCATTAGGCCCTCCACTAGGCCCTGTCAATGGGACATCCCCAAGTTCTATGTCTTCATCCCCCGCTTCAATAAAAGCCCATTTAGCTCGGCCTTCTCTCAGTGGGGCGGTCTTGAGCTTTCTTTCTTTTTTCTGCATGCTACGCTTTCCAAAACGTCGAGGCCTCAAGGCATCCGCAGCATCTTTGAGAAGCTGCAGGAGCGACTCAAGGAGCCCCAGTGACTCTGCTGCAGCTCCGCTCCGCCTGCTCCGTCGCTCCTGGTGGTGGCGCGGTGGTACGACTCTGACGGGTCGTTGGACGAAATGGGTCCCTCCCTGTGGAGGTACCCGGTGGCGGTGTCCGGAGGTACGATCTTCCGCTGGTTGTAGTTGGACCTGAGAACCGCAGCGGTGGGGACAACAGTCGCACTTAAGGTGCCAAAACCCCAGGGTTCGCACTCAAGGTGCCCATCTTAGTTTTTGGGAGTGTATGATGTGTCAAGCATTTTCCAGCCGATCGATTCGCAATTCTGGCCATTCACACAGTTACGCAGGACCTGATGTAACATGAGCGGGTCTTGTCTGTCAAGTTGTCAAGCAATGTTGCAAGGTCCGTTAGCCAATCACCGGGTGTACCTACGGCAAAAAGGCCATCAGCGGCTCCAGTGAGTTGAGGTGGCTCTCACCAAAAGAGGAGACCCATTGAAAGGTTACTCAGCAAACCCCTCCAACGGAAGAACTCGTGGAGAACTCCTTTTCCCAGACACTCCATGGGACTACCACATATGCTTACATTGGGGTGGTTTGGGGGGGTCAATGTAGGCATATATGGCATACATGGAGTGTTTGGGTTTGGTAGATGAGAATAGTCTTCCAAGGGGCCATTGTCATGGATGGAACAGATGCGGGCAGACATCCAGCGGCCAGAATTGAAGCGAGGGAAGACTGGAGCTCTTGAGGTGGTGACGATCCACAAAAGACGCGTCAGAGGTTTCATTTTGATGTGCCCCTCATGTAGACTCTTGATCAATTTTTACCAATAACCCGTAATGTGAAGTGGTGTTTCAATCCATGTCTGGGGGTGGTTATTGCATTATAAACAAGAGTCTACATTCCAAACTTCACCATTGTCGCTGAGGTTTGAAGAGCTGAACTTGTCAGACAATCATGTGGGAGATGAAGGCGCTTCGGGCTTCGCCGTCAAACAAGGAGAACACATCGCCTTCGAAGCAAACCGACTTGACCCAGTTGATTTGTTTTCTTGGGAGTCCAAAGTTGATTTCCTTTTGAAGTGATCTGACGATCTGGGCTATTCCCTCCTATCCCTGTTCAAAGCATCCTGCTGAGGGATTTGGGTGAAGAAGAAGCTCACTGAGTTGCAGGTTTCATTGCACAACCCATGGCTCCACAGTTCTGAGGTGATGCGATTTTTCTCAGACCCTCCATGGCTCCGTATAGCTCTCCCGAGCCCACCTAGATCTGGATCTTTATGCATCACTATGCTGGTTTGTTCATTCAGAACAGCAGCTGAAGGGCATCAATTGGAAGATCCAGGTAGAATGAGTTGATTCTTTCCGAGACTGCGATGACTACCTTCTGGTTGGGTCAAGATGGTCATGAGACTCGGCTTTGAACTCAGGGTCCGAACTGAGGGGCCTCCTGCATGTCATGACAAAGTCCACGTACCAGGCAGTCCACGTATAAAAGACACCCCAACTTGGAAGATTTGGAAGCCCATTGCCAATTGTTGTTTCCTGCAATCAGCGGCTAGAAAAGAAACAGACCGCCTCAGATATCCTCAGATGCCTATGACTTATGCACTCGCTTCCGCGCTCACGGTGATAGGTGCGGACTACCTGAAGGATGGCCTCAAGAATTCCAACACCCTGAAGCGTTGGGGGCCCCTGATTTTCACCAAACACCGGGAACCAGTGCACTGTTCGGTGGATTCTCCGCTCTTCATGTTGCTACGTTCCTTTCTTGGGATGGCGGCGCGCCACACTGCAGGAAAGCCAGGTATGGTTTCGATGCTTTTCGCGGTCAGTGTCCATGAGCGCCAGTCTCGCTGGATGCTGCAAGTGGAAGAGGTTGGCTTCCTATGGTCCAGCCAAGCTGAGGTGATCAGCATCAACGTTGAAACAGCCAAGACATAGACATAAACCAGGTCAATTGGCTTGTTGGGCTTTGCAACGGGTCAGATGTTTTGGAGGATCGTTGAAAATGGGGCTATCTAGCGAGAATCTAACGTTTAGCCTGGTGCGAAAGACTGGCAACCACGGTCCGTCACAACCAAGTAGGGGCATGCCACACACACACACACACACACCGCGGAACTCCAAGGCATTTGTCCCTGACTGCAAAATGTGCAGGGTCAAAGCTGAAACCCAAACTTGCACAGCCTGCAGTTTTGAACACAAGGCACAGTATTGTTGTGATTCTGCTTGCATTGTCCCCAGGACGGCAAAACCTGCGTTTATCATGTTTGCTTTAGTTCAAGATCTGCATGGGAGATCACCACTTTGCAAGCGTTCTTCCTTTGCAGAGACATGTTTCTTTATTTTTGCGTGGCAGAGGTTTTGAGCTGGTGCCTCTGTCGTCAGAGGGTTACGTTGGTTGTCTTTGGAAGCATAACAATTGATATGGAAAAACGTTTCAACATGATTTGCTCAGTCTGCCGTTCCCCAGAGACTCACACGTTTGCTCAGGTTTGTTGATGCCACGAACTGGGCTGAAGACCAATGGCTTCCAATCCATCGGTGAGTTGTTGCACCACTGCCCTAGCCTGGAGACTGGGCGCGCTATCCGCCCGCGGAGTCCGCGCGGACTGTCCACCGCGGACGACCCGCGACGACGGAGCGACATAGCCATAGCAAAGGACGCTACTAGGACGCTACGTTCGGGGCTCCGGGCCTGGCATCGCTACGAACAAGACGCTACTAGGAACAAAGTGTGTCGTTTTTTCCCCGGCTGGACCTAAATCTGAGTATAGCTTGTCCAGCCGGTCCGATGGCATCGACCGAGCGTGGACGCCAAGAAAAAGCACCGATGGCTTCAGCAGACCCTCCACCGCCCTGCTGGGGGAAGAATCTGAACACATTCCCAGCATGGGATTGGCGTGGGATTGGCCTATTTACCTAGATTGGGGTGGTTGAAAAGGGTTCAATATGGTGCAATGTTTGCATATTAATATTACGATGGTCATGGATGGTCTGAGATTGCAGAAATGGCATAAATCTCAAGGGCCACTCCTCATGTTGTGGGTTTCAGAGGGTGCTAATCGAGCTTGTCATGGCTATTCATTTTGAAGGTCACAGGGAGGCTCCAGATTTGAAGACTTTCGATGTGGAGACTGACTCTTGTCCAAGTCCACCAGATGTTTGCATGCTTTAAACGAGAAAGGGGGTGTTGGTCCAAGCTGAACAAGCTCAGGTCCAATCAGACCTCCCCCCGTGTGAAACCCTCCTTCAAAAACTGGAAGATGAGGAGAAGCCCTTTGTTGAGGAGTTCTTTCTTGGTCTTCCGGGAGCCCGAGCTGCTTCACTTCGGGAGAGTAGTAGGGCTGAGCTGCTTCGCCCAGGAGATGCTGGTGCTCAGCTCCAATCTCGCCGATCCCGCGGGTGTGGAAGGCACCTTCACCGCAGGCGCACGACGCGGCGACGCGGCGGCGCATGCCGAGGGTTGAACGCCTGGGTCACCTGACCCTGCTCGGTGGATGACATGCCGCCAGTGTGGCTGTATGGAATATATTGACCATCCTCTGCCGAATATCCTCTATAGAATGGTGGAGGTCGAGCTCCAAAAAGCAGTTGCGTTTTATAGAGAGGTTTTCTCTAGAATCAAAGGTCAACCTACCTGAGACAGATCCACTCTGAGGATCTCTCAGGTGAGAGAATCATATATTGATGGGTCACGAGGTTGATCTGACTCATTTTATAGAGAATACATGACAATTGAGGGTATTTTATAGAGGATATGGTTTTGATTCTATAGAGAGAACCTGGAGCAGTAGAAGGTTGAGAGTTTACTTTAGAGTGGATGGATGTTTTACAGTGAGGTAGGTTGGATTCTGATTCTATAGACAGCGCTTGAATTTGTGGAGTCTTGAGTTTTGAGTTTATAGTCTCAGCCCGCTTCCTCCGCAGAGTGATGCTGCCTTATAACATGAATATCAACCTCTATGGACATATCTTGTTTTTGGAGTGTCATTTTTCTGTCCAATCTTTTTCTAACATGAATTGCAACCTTGCAATGTTCAATCATGTTTCTATATAGAATAAACACCAACCTTTTTTTGCCATAGCTGCCTAACTTTCCTCTAAAATATTATATCAGCCTTGATGTTACACCCACTTGTCTATAGAATGAATATCACCCCTGGCTGTTTCTAACAGATTATTCAATGTTTGAGCCTACAATTCTGTTACATTAGTGCCTTAAAGCTTGAATCCCTTTATTCTATAGAGAAATTATGCTGTACTCTACAAGGGTTGAAAGCCAGATTCTATAGTGGAGCATTGTGCTCCCAGATCCTGGTTAAATCATTTATCACTATAAAATGGGTTCTCAACCCCCACCGTTTTTTCCACAGAGGATGATTGACCATGATTTACCTCTTCTCAAGCTCCCCAATGTAGGTAAACAGGCCAGTCCCATGGATGGTTTGGGTATTCTAGTAGATGTATGGTGCCTTCGGGGTTGCATCCCCATCCGTGCCTTCTGAGCGGCTGTTGAGCTCTCCTCCGAGTGTCGCCGCAGCGTCTGTTAAGCTCGGCAGGGCTTTCGAAGAACAAGTCCCTGAAGTCCTTGTGCTTGGCCGCCTGCCGCCTCGGCAACACAGGCCGAAGTTCGACCGGTACAGAGGATGAGGGGGCAGGGAACGGTACGTGGTTGCAAATGGGCGGTCCAAATGCGTCCAGACAGGAGAAGAACGTGGGTTGCTGGAGATAGGGTCGATATGGGTCAATGGTCCAGTTGTGAAACCACTTTTGCATACTGCTACAAGTGAGCCAGGAAGATAGGTGCATCAGGATGTCCAGAGAAAACATTGTAGTTGATCTCAGGCTTCGGACCTGTGTGAAGTCACACTGGAGACTCCTTCACTACATAGGTGGGGAAACAAGTTCCAAATGGCACACTGATGAGATACGCTCACATGTTCCCTTTCAGATCCACTTCAGTTTCACCCCTTGGATCCTCGTTTCGCCCCACGTGTTCGGGTTCCGCAGGCGTCGCACAGCTTTGCGCGGGGCCTTTGGCCTCCCACGGGGCGCCACCTGGCAATTTCCTGGCTCAAAGGACGACCTTCTGACTCACTGTTGGATGGAGGGCACCACCTGTTTGTAGAGGAGAGTCATCCAACTGGCCATTGGTTCATATTTTGTTCCACTTCCATGTGAGTGAGTCGGAGTGTATCCCGTAACGGTTCACCGAAGGATCCGCCAAAGTATCATGGATGATCGGAGGATCCGCTAGGGAATCGATGGCCTTGCGATGGGAATCCATTGCCAGCTTCGAAAGGAAGGTGCGATGGGATCCTCCAGACACACAAGTGCCGAACACATCACCTTCTCAAAGGGTGTGTGGATCCATAGGGGATGTGGGTGTGCACTGAGACAGGGACACCCCCCGAAAGGCACCTGGAAGGTGTATATGGGGTTACGGGAGAAAAGAATACATATTGTTATATAGAGCTGAGGGACTCCCTAGTGGCCCTACTTTAATGCACACTCATGCAAAGGCGACTGTCCTCTACAGATTGGGAGCTTTCCACCTCTAGACGCTGTGTGAGTCGGACCCTGGAGGAAAACTTGGAAGCTGAACAGCCCCAGCGTATAGAGATTAAATTATAGAGGAAACCATATATATATATATATATGCAGGAACACCATGGAAAAGCACTTCCCACCAGTGGACCATGCTCCATCTCCTTCACTGCTTGAGAAAGAGGTATGGGCATTTGTAGTGTTTTCATCAGGACCGCCCCATGCCAGCGAACCACATGAGGTTGGAGCACGTGTCCTTCAGCTACAACCGCTTGGAGGATGAAGTTTGCAGCAGTGTCATCAAGATGCTGCTTGGTCATGCTGGAATAGATCTCAGATCTGGACGGGAAGATGGGATCATGCTCTCACATGGATGCTGGATGGGGCCAGAAAGAAGGGTCGAGCCAAACAATTGGAGAATGTCCAGTGGAAGAACTTTGTGCTCCAGTGAGGTGGTTTACCCCTTGGACGATCAAGCTCGACGAAGTTAAGAATTACATGCTAAATTTAAATGATCTATTTAAATGCTACTACCGTGACGGTACAAGCAATGGTTTCCATCCTAAACCCAGCTACATAGGAGAAGGGCCCAGTTCCTGATTTCATGTTCATCAGTTGTTTGGTCCTTCCAGGGAATCACAGACGGTTTTCTCCAGTCCGATGTTTTGGAAATACGGAAAATCACGGAATGACACCTTGCAGAATAATTAGTGAGAGAGGAGGGTTGTAGGTGACTGAGCTTTGGGTCCATTTTTGCGCCTGTACCCACAGCCGTTGCTTTGCATGTTCCTTTACAAGGGGCTTTTGGATGGCGGATCTTGGAGCCATGATTCAACGTAGGAACGGCCAAAAGCTATGGGTAGACTATAGGTCTCAACATGTCTCAAGCTGACGTAGGAGCGTCCTAAACCGAACGAACCGTAACGCTCAGGACCAATCGGCACAGCCCCTCGACAAGTAAGCACCGTAGCTGCGGACCTGACTTGAGGTCCAATGGAAAAAGGTTTCTCCCCATGGTTTGTCTCCTGAAAGGCCCCTAAAGGATGTACAATTATGTACACACACATGTGCATATATGTATATATTTTTTCGCACATATGCATATATATATATATATATACACGAGGTGTCCCCTATGTAATGGAATCATAGGGGGGGGTCAATTTTTTTGGATATATATATATATAT